TCTCATGGAAACCATGTATACAATTGATTGGTAAATTAGCATCTGCTAAGATTGCTCCCCATCTTTATTATGCTTGCCATTTTCTCTTTTCTGATTCCATTCTCTACCTCTACAAGTTTCTTATTCGTCCCTGTATGGAATACTGTTGTCATATTTGGGATGATTCTTCTAATAATGCACCTTGTCTTTTAGACAAAGTACAAAAATGCTTTGTAAATGTAGTTGGACCTGCTCTATCTGCCTAGCTTGAGCCTCTCTCTCATCTTTGTAAAGCAGAATCTCTTTCTCTTTTCTACAAATACTATCATGGTCGCTACTTTTTCTTTTTTACAAATACTATCATCGTTGCTGAAAAAACTCATTCTCGCTTGACTCATCATTCAGCAAAGTCTTATTCTTTTACTATATCTGTTCATGCATTTTCTAAAAACTTTTATTTGTCCTATGTTTTTTCCCGGACTTCAATCCTTTGTAACCCGTTCCCATCTTTATGTTTTCCTGACTCAAACAACCTGCAACTTATTTTTGCAAAGTTTTTTGTCAACTGTTTCCTTGCTCTTTAACCCTTTTTTTTTTTTTTTTAAGTAACTCCTAACTAAATAGTGGTTGCAGCCTTGTTGAGAGTGAATTAGAATTTAAAAAAAAAAAATTAATCGTTACACCCTACATGCAACCGGTTTTTAAGTTGGGAGTTACTAGGATAATAATTAAAAAAATCAAAGAAGATTAGGAAAGAGTTGGTTTAGAGCAACGATCTGGTTTAATTGAAGGTTGCAAACTATCATAAGTTTAAGTCTAAATAGGGCAAGAAGTAGTAATTCTTTAGATTTAAAGAAAATAGAGACATAAAAATAGCCTTTAAAAAATGCAGAAGTTTATGGTTGACACTTTAAGCATAATAAAGGAAACTTCAGCAAATGCTATCACTAAGTTACTAATGTTAGTACTAATATATGAGGCCAGTATTAAAGCATAACTACCATTATCAGCCCGTAAAATCAGAAGGATTTCATGTTGACACAAGAGTGCTGTAGTTGATGCCAGATTGGCACAAGAATGCTGTACTTAGTTGAGGCCAGGTTAGCAAAATTTTGCTTGTTAAAGCATTTCATCTTGTTACAAAAGGTTTAATGATTAATTGGTTATAGAAGAATTTTTTAAAAAAGAGCATAGTTTTAGACAATGTTTTAAAGAATATAGCAATTAAAATTTGTGTAAATTTATAGCAAAATTATGAATTACTGGTTTTTTAGTTTCGAAGTTGTTTTTTCACAAGTAAAATTTCATGGTTTATTTATTACATTTTTATTAGTTTTTTAGGTGGTTCTTATAAAAAGCAATTAAAAATACAAGTTTATTTAATGAGGCAATGAAAAAAAATTAGTATATACAAATTAATAAAACTAATAGATTCTTTTCAAATAAATATGATTTTTAAATGTTTTTTCTCCACATGTGTTTTTTCTCCACATGTGTTTTTCATAATCTGACTATAGTAAGACTAAACTTTCCTTACTCTCCTAACTTTCTGATCTTAAATAATAATATAGCCATAACATGTAAGTTAACAGTTTTACTTTATAAAATTAATATTAGATTTTTAAACTTTTGAAAATTTTAAACTTTTGAAAATTTTTAAAATTTTTAAAATTTTAAAGCTTTTGAAAATTTTGAACAAAAAAGTGTTAGAACAACAAATGTTTGAAGAGTTTTATTGTTAAATGATTTAATGACCTTCCTATGGTAATTATGAATGAATATAGTTGAGAAAAACTTTCTCAACTATATATATCAACTTTCTCAACTCAAAATCAAGATGCTCTTGCTTCTTGATTTTGAGTTGCATTTTTCTTTCATTTCCTATTGCCATGTATTCTCTGTAAAATCTACATTTCCTGATAAATGAACAGTGACTCTTTCTAGCAAAAAATGATCTGTGTTGAGCATCCACTATCCACAATAGCTTTTACGGTTCTATCATCAACCTTCATTTGATTGACAACAAGAACACCTAATTCATGGTTTCTTGAGAGCAAGTTTGTGCTCTCCTGACTGCTTCCGTGCTGTTTGGTACAATTTGTTGCCACATGCCTAATTTTATTGCAGTTGAAACATTGAACATTTTTTTTGGGTGCTGCACAGTTCTTTGCAATATGATTTACCCTCTGACATTTATAGCATCAGGGATTATCTTTTTCCGGATATTTCCAGAATTTCTGCGATTTTTTTAAGCTTTTAGTTTTTCTGGATATCCAAAACGTTATTTAGGAACAATCACAGGAAAGGGATGAGACTTAATTGAATGATGAGTAACATAAACGGGCACTGCTCTAAAGAGACACTAGCTCTTTAGAGCAGTGCCTGTTATAGTTATGTTGATGTGATAATGGTTGGAGGTTGGCTGCAAGAACAGGTCCAACAATGTTTACAATGCGTTTTTATACTTTGTCTAAAATAAAAAAGGCATTAAGATTCGCCCCAGATATGGCAACAGTATTCCATACAAGGACGGATTTGAGATTAATAGAGATGTAGAATAGAATTCGGATAAAAAATTCAAAAAGATTGGAAGTAAGAGTTAATCCTAGAAGATTAAGGGTAGATGACTTGTCGCTTACATCACCATTCATAAATATAGGGAGATCTAAATTATTGCAATAACAATTAATTATTGGGTTTTATTTAAATTAAAGTTCACCAATTACTGTGAGCCCCATGCTATAGCAGAAGTGAGACCCTTTTTAAGCTCAAATGCCCCCTCCAAGCAATCTGAGAGTGTTGGCTTCTTATCAAGACAACAATAAATGGTAGTATCATTAGCAAACAATGCCACCTTAGATGTTAGAATATCTGGAAGATCGTTAACGTAAATTAAAAAAGAGTATAGGTCCAAAGTTAACCCTTGAGGAACCCCTGAAGTTACAGGATATGAAGAAGAGTGCTGTCTATCAAGGACAACTTTTACACTACGATTGGATAGGAAGGATTCAATAATCTTATATATGTTACCTGATACACCAGAAAGAAGAAAGCTTATGGAAAAGACCAGCATACCATACTTTATCAAAAGCTTAAGAAATATCAAGAGTGATAGCCTTAACCTCTTCACCTCTAACTAATATACAATAAAACGCATCGATTATTACTGTTAGTAAATCAGCTGTGGAACGAGAAGATTAAAATCTATATTGATGATCAGAAAGTAAGTTATTAGATTCAAGATAAGAGATTAAGTGTTTGTTAATTGAAGATTCAAAAACCTTGCTTATGATAGGAAGAAGAATAATGGGTCAGATTGCTCTCCAGAATTTTTGAAAATAGTGATAACAGATGTTGCTTTCCAGCATGCTGGAAAAAAAGACTCCTATAAGCACTTGTTAAATAGTTTTGCAAGTTTAGACTACAGCTCTGGAGAACACATCTGCAAGACTATAACAGGTATTTTGTCTTGACCACAAGCTGTTGAAGAGTCTAAGCAGGAAATTACTTTAGATACAGAAGCTGGAGTAATACAAATGTCAAGCAATGGATCAACCAGTTTGTAGGCAATATCAGGTAGAAACGCAACTAGTGGAGTCGAGAGATGATATTTATAAAAAGTTCTTAGCAAACAATTCAGCATTGTCTTTAGGTGAGGTGACAAAATTTGGACTGTACAAGAGAGGTGGAATAACAGATTTGCCCTTATTATTGATACTGTTAAAGATTCTCAAGAAGTCACGAGAGTCTAATTTTTGTGATGAAATACGAGGTTTCATGACCTCAGAGTAGCGGGCTTTGACGTTAGACAACCTTTTTACCATGGTTTCTAGCAATAGTAAACAGATATCTGTTTTCTCGAGAATTGTTTCAAATTGGTTAAAGAACTTGACTCAAAGCATAGATAGTACTCATTACACTATTTAAAAGTCCAAGCAATTGCCTCATTACTATTAATAAACCCTAAACTACAATGGGCTCCAAATGTGGCCTCGACAATGCACACCAAAAGTACAAACAGGGACACCATCCATGCACAACATGGCATTGTTAGTGCTCTGATATTTTACAGCTGTTGATGGAATCAGCCTCTTTGAGAGCTACCTCAAAGCTCGAAAAACCTGACTTCCAATAGGCCTCAGAACCATAAAACTAAGTTTATGAGCTGTACCCTCATTAGGAGATAATAGAATGAGTTGCCTAATCATAAAAACAGAGATACAAGCAAAAACCAAGCATTGAATCAAGAAGATCCAGCATTCAACATCCTAAACTGTAAACAATGTATTATAAGCACATCTGCGCCAGCCTAATAGATGAAGAAGGGGTGTGAGGCTGGTCAACAGATAGAGTCTGTTTACCCCTTAAGTCTGGATGCTGGGTGCGTTTAACATCTGCCCAAGATGAGTATTTTTATCGAGATTCCACCTCCAGCCTTAACTCAACCATGAGCCCCATGGCAGGGCGTGTTTTAAATATTTTAGAAATAGTTACTCATTAAAAACTGTTTGAAAACTATAAAAATGTCATATCAAAAAATAATGCATTGTAATTATAGCTTCTAACAACTTCTATTTCGATGCAAAACAGTTACATTTTAAGTCATAAATTTTGTTTTGTTTTAAAGTTTTAGAATCCAGGCCTTTAGAAATCCATGGAATCTTGAGTTCCAGACAAAAAGAGTGACATTAGACAGAAATCATACCCATAGGGGTGTATACCATAGGGTGAGGACCTATCTCCACATAACTTTTTCTGTCCCTTCCTTATCTCTATTTATCCGTTTCCAAAATGTCCTAATCAGCTACTTACTTGTGCCCATACTAACCCTGCTAAGTTGTAAATAACTTATTTTGTTTTATAACAACCTAGTGATTTAGACTCAATCATTTCAAGTTTTTGTTTTATTAGTTACACTTTTGTTACTATAGATACACTTTTGTTACTATAACTTATTTTTTGTAATACTCATTTTTATTAAAAGATAAGTTTATAATTTGTTATAAAAATTATTTTTGTAGAGTCATATGGCACATTATCTGAAGACGAAGAAAACCACAAAGCTCGTGTCATTTACCTAAATCAAATACAACCACATAAATATTGCAGTAACAAAATAAGGTATGCCTTTTTAAAAACAAATATTAAGAAATAAGATGTCAAAATAGACTAATAACAAAGGAAATAAAAGCACTAATAAAACTTAAAGTGGAAAACAAAAGTTTATTACCTATGAAATTTTTTAACTCTTATTAGGCAATTAGCTTATTAGGCAATTATTTGATTTTCTACTTTAGGTCTTTTCTAATTATCTTTCACTGCTTTAGGTCTTCTCTTATTATCTTTTACTACTGATTTATTAAACCATTTGCATGATGACTTCGATAGTTAGCATCTGCTTAGGTTGCCTTTTTTTGTTGTGCTTGCCATTTTCTTACTCTTAGTACTTATTTTCTTACTTCTAGTATTATTCTCTACCTCTATAATTCTCTTTTTGTCTTTATGTATAAAACAATATTTTATACTTTCTAACAGTATGAAATACAGTTGTCATATTTGTCATACAAAGTTGTCATATTTAGACTGCTTAGATAGAATTATCTTTTGTGTTTTTCTGACTCATACAAATTAAGTCCTCTGTCACTTACTTGCTTTTTTAAATTTTTTGGTATCTGTTAACTCTCACTTTAGTGGTTGCTTGCAGCTTTGTTGAGCATAAAAATGTTAAGAAAAAAAAAGAAAAAAAGTGCGATGAAATTATTCTTTTAGAATCAGTTATGTTTAGTAACTATTTAATTTTTAAATACTGAAAACAGTTATCTGTTTCAATGTTTCAAACAGTTATCTGTTCTCAGTATTTAAAAGTATATATTAAATAGTTTTAATTTAATTTTAACATTATTTGCAAATCTTCGTAAATTTTTTGTACTGATTTGTTAAACAGCAAATATTTTAAAAGTTAAAAAAAAATATCTCTACTATTTTTTTTTAAATAGTTGCTATTGTTATTCAAAGTTTTCATTACATGAATATTTTATAATTTTTAAAAATACCAATTTACAAAAACTGAATATTTTACAAAAATGTTCTGATATATTGTTTCAAAATATTTAACATATTAAACATATTTAAAGGTCTAAAAGCTATTTTTTCTTTTTAATGTGCTTCTGGTACAATCACATATAGATTTACCATAGTTGGTTGCAAAAAAACTCTATTGTTTTTATTATACCAATATAATTTTGTGGACACATAGGTTTACTAATAAAATACATAATCATTTAAAAAATACTTTTAAAAATGCGTTTCTTTTATTTTAGTTTTAATTAATCTGCAAAAAGTAGTATTACAAAGAAATAATTTTTTTTTTGATAAAAAACAATTCAATTTTATTATATAATTATATAAAATTAATGTCATAAATATAACACCATGTTAGTTGATCACTTCTGAGTTAATTGAATTTTTTCAATTATCTCAAAATCTAACTTTTTTACATAAGTGTTTTGAATGTGGGTTTTTTATTGTTTTGTTAATTTGTCTTGTTATGTTAATTTTGATAAATAATTCTTTTAATCATTCTTTTAAAATAATCATTCTTTTAAAAAGTAAAAATTGTTATAAAATTAATATAATAAATAATTAATATAACAAATAATTGTAGCTATAAATTTGAGAGGAGAAAAAAAAAAGAGAGAAAATGAGAAAGAAAAATGAAAAAAGCTGTATCCTTTTATATTAATAGCCTTCTGTCTTAATTTTTTGTTATTATGATGGTCAAGTCCAGTGTTATGATGGTTAAGTATGATATTATGTCAGTTAAGTACAATAATATGATAGTCAAGTACGTTATTATGACAGTTAAAAACTTAATGACAGTTAAGTACACTATTATTACAGTTGAGTACATTATTATGACAGTTAAGTACACTATTATGACAGTCAAGTACACTTTTATGACAGTTAAATATGCTATTATTCTGTTAACATATAGCAGTTAAAAAAATGTTAATGTATGAATAAAATTTAAAACATAAAATTATTTTTTAAACTATTTCAAACTATTTATTTTTTATAAACTTTTCAAGAGTATAAAATGCTACAAAAAGAAAAAAAGTTTAATTGCTTGCAATAATTTTTTTCTATTCATTTTTCATTTTTCCTGACTACTTTTCTTCTAAAGAACAGTTTTAAATGGTTGCTTTAAATTAATTTCTACAATTTATAATGCCTCTAGAATTACAAATTGCATAAATTAATTTTTGAAGAACTTATATTATTTGATATTTTAATTGTGGTTTATTAAACTATATATGATATTAGTTTAATATTAGTTTTGTTGTTTTATAATTATGTTTGTTTTGTTTTTTATAGCACTGCCAAATACAATCTTGTAACGTTTCTACCAAAATTTTTACTGGAACAGTTTAGTCGTTATGCAAATGTATTTTTTCTGCTTATTGCATTACTTCAGGTAATTTCTTTGCTTATTGTGTTATTACTTCAGGTAATGAATGTACTAGTGGTGTAATGATAGAGCGCTTCTTCATAAAGTGAAATATTAAGTTCAATCCCTATCATGTCCCTTTCAGTTACAGAAGTGAGATCAGGTTTAAGCTACCTGATCTAATTAATTAAAAAGAGAAGACTTTTTGTCAAGACAGTAACATAAAATTGAGTCATCAGCAAATGGACTTAAGTAAGTTTCATCAGCAAATGGAGTAACTTAAGTAAGTTTCATCAGTAAATGGAGTAACTTAAGTAAGTTTCATCAGCAAATGGAGTAAGTAAGTCAGGAAGATCATTAATCTTGATAAAATACAGAACCAAGGATAAAAAACAATACAGAACCAAGGATAGAACCTTGAATATCTAGTGTTTATCATTCTAGGCAAGAAACAATGTAACAAGTTAACATCATTTTATCTATGTCAGCCTATTAAATGTAGAAGCGTGAGACTGGTCAAAAAAAAATTTCAGATTACCCAAATAAATTAGCCATACAATAGAGATATTAGATTTGTTTTTAAGATTTTTTTTCAAAATCTCTAAAGTTTCTGAGATAAAATTTGAAAATAAACTTGAGAATAAACTTGAGTTTGAGCTTGACCATCAGACTATGAAGCTTTGCAAAAGTATTGGGTCACCTCCAGAAATATGTCTATTTGGCAACCCTAACCCTAACCACAGATGACATAGACAGCTGTCCACAGCTTTGTCTATATCCTCTTGTAAAATCACAAAGTCTTCATCAGATTTGATGATGCCAATGATTTTGCTATCATCTGCATATAATTTGATGTGATGCGCAATATTGTTTGGAAGATTTTTGACAAAAAGGACAAATGATAATGGTCCTAGAACAGATCCTTGTGGAACTCCACTTGAAAAAAGTACCCAATTTGATATGTCTTTTCATCACTACACATTGTTTGCGATCTGAAAACCACACTTCGATCTAATTTAACAATGCACCACATATACAGAGTGCCCTCAGTTTGTGTAGCAAGTGTTGATGAGGAACTTTTTCAAATGCTTTGGAAAAGTCCAATGACATCTGCATTGTAACCTAGGTGAATGGCCTGTGTCAGGATGTCACGTGCCTGCAGGAGATTAGTTGTGCAGCCTCATTTTGCATACAAAGCCATGCTGGGCTTTTGAAAGCAATTTATTGACAAAACAATGAGCCATAACTTGATTGTGAATAATTCCTTCTAGGATTTTGCAGGCAATTGAGGTTAGAGATACCAGCCTGTAGTTCGAAGCGTCAGTATTGCTTCCTTTTTTAAAAAGGAAGCAATATTAACGCATTATATTTGATTTTCTCCATAGACCTGGGTTGCGGTAGATTTCTATAATCTATATATAATATAATCTATATATAATATAAATATATATCGGTTGCGATAGATTTCTATAAAATAAGCACTATTGGAGTGGGAAAAGGAGCTGCACAATTTTTCAAGTTTTTTATTATCTCACAAGTTTTACCTCGTAAGTCAATTTTGCCGATCAAATATGTCTCACAAAGTGCCAAATGAGTGCGTCTACCAGACGCTTGGTACTTTTCCCAAAGTTCGTGCTTCTTGTCGACTGCAGCAATAATGTCTGGTGTGATCCAGTTTTTGTTTTTTGCTGCAAAAGGCATTATTGTTGTCAAAATGTGGAGCGCAGTTGCTTCATTGTCTTTTTTGATGGAAATTTTGCAGCTGTAATCTGTAGAACAACCATGAAAAACTTGATAACTTTTATATGGGGAGACAACAACTCATAATCTGTTTTACTCCAGATTAGACGCTGGTTTTTTGATAACATATGAGTATAAAGGCTAGTCAAGGCCATTGTGCCCTTGATAAGATAATGCAACTGTCCCATAGGCATAGGTCAGAGAGGATCGGACTCTGAAACATCTAGTATTCGGTCCAGTTTGTTGCTGATTATTAGTTCAAGGGTTGTTTTTGGCAATACGAGTTGTGATTGACGATAAGTGGAGAAAGTTACCAACTTTGTCAAATCCACTTTTACAAGGCATGCTTGAAACTTCAAGTATTGAGACTCTTTATCAATCACATGGCCAGCAGTTGCCACACCACCCCAAATGTTAATAAGCTTATACCACCTGTGGCTAAAATTAAAATCTCCATAGAGAAGCATAGCTGAACAACTTCCTATCATTAGTGCATTTTTAGCTATGGCTATAGATGCGATGACTTTGGCAAGAAGTAAGTTGTCGTGATCATGAGGCCTGTAGATGCAGTCTAACAAGAAAGATTTTCCTCCGTACTTTATTATTCTCCACACTTGTTCTATTGAGTTTGAATTCAGTTGGTTAATCCTTATGTCATCATGACGTCTTTCGTGTAGATGGCAATCCTTATGTCATCGTGTCGTCTTTTGTGTAGATGTCATCATGTCGTCTTTCGTGTAGATGGCCTTCTCTGCCATTTCTGTCAACATGGTGCAGATGGTAGCCACTGATGATTGTATCTAATGTTTCGTTGAACCATGTTTCAACAAAAAACATGTTGTGCGGCTGGTTTTCTATTGGCATAGCTGCTAGTCTTGCTGTTAACTTGCCTATTTTTGATCTGTTTAGAGAGCATGGGTTGTTAGCCCAGAAGCACAAATGAGTGAGTGTTAAAACTGTTGTGTTTCTAATGCACTTTTTTGCGTTGGTGTATAGCTGATCTGACATTGATCTGAATTTTGGAGGTCATGGTTAATGAGCAGGTTGATCTAGTATCAATGATGTTGTTGGCTGCGGTGATAGTTGCGTCGATGATGGCAGCTGCAATAGCTGTTTGTGGTGAGGCAAAGATGTATCATTTTTTGACGTCAATGTAGCTAATTTAACCAGTTCTATGGTTGTTGTTGTTGTTCTGAAAGGGCCAGTCTAGGATTCAAATTGTCATTCTTATTCAAAATGCCATAATCTTCGTTAAATTTTGCTTGTTCTGCAGGATTTCGGTTCTCTCAAGCAAATATTCCCCAATACTCTTCGATATTATGGTGACTACAGGCTTATATGATTGCTACTTTATCTGTTAGAGTTGAGAGTGATACACGATACACAGCCTCAAAGAATTTCATAACAGCATCTTTGTCATGGTTCATTATGGATGAGGCAAAACCAATAACAATCACATTTAACTCTTTTTCTTTTCTAGATTTGTTATCGGTGATGACAACTTGAATAAGTTGATTACGATGTTTCGCCTCTAAGTCTGACTTGAGAGTTGGTATTTTGCCTTCTAGCGATTTGATTTGTTTGACTAGTTGCCTTTCTCTTTCAATACCATCTAGAATTAGGTTTTTAAAAGGCCATTGTAGAGCTGTTTCAATCATGTTTCTAACTAGGGGCTTGTAATTCTTCTTGAAAGTTTTGTTGTCACTGATTAGTTCTGTTGCTTGCTTTGTTGATTTTTGTGCAACTTCTTTAAAGTTGATTCCTGAAGACATATTTGCTTATTAATCAACAAAAAAGTTGTCTAGTAAGCTTTAAATAGCTTTAAGTTTTTTGGAAAGTTTATACTCAATGGGGAGGTTTAGTAACATAAACGTTTATATATTTAATATGTATTGTAGATAATAATAATAAATTTTTAATAATGATAATAATAAAGATATTAAAAATAATATATTTATGATTAACTTAATTACTGGATTAGAACAGAGTTAAATGTTGGTAGCACAATCAAAAAATATGACATCATTTACATAGATGAGTTTTTTCCGGAAATTCTGGAAATTTAAAGTACCTTTAATTTTTCCAGAAATTTCCGGATGTTTTTTGATATTAATAAAATTAATAAAAAATTAAAAAAATAAATTATTTTTACATAAAATTTTACATACGACAGCTTTTGCATTTAAACAAATATCTTTTCTATAATTAAAATTTTCAAGAGATCAATTTTCGTAATATTTTTTTTTCTTTTTTTCTTTTTTTTGCTTTTTAATTCATTCAAACTTTTTCGTAAAAAGTTGAATAATCTAAATTCCGTTTTAAAATAATCTAAATTCCATTTGTCAGTTATATGCGATCACTTTTTAGTAAAATAACTTTCCGGGATTTTCCGGAATTATCATAGAAAAAAAATTTCTGGGATTTTCATAAAGTCAAATACTCATCTATGCATTTAGCAATTAACAAAAGCCTATACAAAATTATATATATATAATATTATGATATTTTAAAACTATTTATTTTATTTTTTATATACATTTTTGTTTCCTAGATTTTATCTTAGAGAATGTTTTCTAGAACAATTGTTAATTTTTTTTTTTTTTTTTGTAGCAAATTCCAAATGTATCACCAACAGGAAGATACACAACTGCAGTTCCTTTATTATTTGTGTTAACATGCTCTGCTGTAAAGGAGATAGTAGAAGATTTGGTAGCTTATTTTAAATATTTTTTAAATATTTTTTCAAAATTGTATTTTTTTGTATAATTTAATAATTTTTATAATTTATATTATTTTATGTTTGTATTATTTATTTTATAATAAGACTTATTAAAATGTAACTTTAGAAACGTCACAGGGCAGATGATCAGACCAATAACAGAATTGTTAAAGGTATTATAATTTTTTATCAGAAACTTTATTAAACTAATTTTTTAATACTTTTTACAAAATACTGAAGTATATTTTCCAAAAATATGTTTTATATAATAATATCAAATAAATATTCAGCTGTCAAATGTATGCAAGTTAGTTAGAACTTTACTAATGGAAATAGCTATGTAGTTGAATCAATATAGCTGTGTTAGGTATAGCTTTGTATATTGTGCATAATATGCTTTACTAATGGAAATGGTTGTGTATAAGAATGAATGAATGGTTGTGTATATGAATGCATGAATGGTTGTGTATATGAATGAATGAATGGTTGTCTATATGAATTTGAATATATGAAGTAGAATGAATAACTATATGAAGTTGAATGAATGATTGTGTTACACAACCATTCATTCGACAAGGAACTCCAGGGCTTTGAAACTCCGGGCTAAAAAACAATAGGTTCCAAGTCATTAAATCTCATTAATTTTTTTCTTATTATAGATTAAACATCACTCAACATTTTTAGAACTTCTTTACTCCAGAGACTTCTTTTCAAACATTTTTAGAACTTCTTTACTCGAGAGACTTCTTTTCAAACATTTTTAGAACTTCTTGACTCCAGAGACTTCTTTTCAAACATTTTTAGAACTTCTTTACTCGAGAGACTTCTTTTCAAACATTTTTAGAACTTCTTTACTCGAGAGACTTCTTTTCAAACATTTTTAGAACTTCTTTACTCGAGAGACTTCTTTTCAAACATTTTTAGAACTTCTTTACTCGAGAGACTTCTTTTCAAACATTTTTAGAACTTCTTTACTCGAGAGACAAGAAAAAAGATTTAAACCTGGAGTTCATCTAGTGCATCTAAAAATGTTTTTATATATTGATTTTCCAGAAAATGCCCAGTGAATATATAAAAAATGGCCAGCCCCTAATGTCTAGTTATAAAATATTAGTTTTAATGGTTTCACTAAAATTAACTTGATAGATCTTCTTTATTTAAAGATTTTTTTCTTATTTTTTGTAAACATTGTTCCATTTAGTTATTCGAAACAATCATCTAATTGATGTTCAATGGACTGAGGTAACTTTACACAGAAAATGTTTGTTATTATCAAATAATTTCTATGTTAATAATTTTGTTTGTTATATTTATTTTAAATTTCCAATAAATAAATATAAGTTAGAGATAATTTTAATATTTCCAATAAATAGATATTAGTTGGTGATATTGTCAAAGTAGTGAACGGAAGTTTCTTTCCTGCTGATCTGATTCTGTTAACTTCAAGGTTTAATTTTGTTTAAAGTAAGCTGAACAATGTAGAGCTGTTTAAAATGCAAATTAAAATTTTATAAAATTCTTTTTTTTAGTGAACCTATGGGAATGTGTTACATTGAAACTGCAAATTTAGATGGTGAAACAAATCTAAAGATTAAAACAGTTACTGGGCATCTATTGTTGTTTTTATATATATTTTACTAAATTCTGTTTTTAGATATTATAAGAAAATTTTTAGTTATTTTTTTTTTGTTTTGGTAGGCCTTGCCAATTACAAGTGAAAGTACAACTGTGGAACAAGCTAGTGAATTATTTGTATGATTTTTTTAAGTTATTGTATGTTAATTTTTGAGTTTTATTTCTATAGTTTTCATTTTGGCCTTACTTGGTATTTTATTTTGTTAAATAGTAAATTATGTAATAGTAATAACAAACATATATAAAGAATATAATAAAAATAAAAATTAACAACAGCAATTTTAGTTTTTAAAAATTGCTGCTAGGTTTAAAATTAAATAGTTTGTAAAGCAAAAAATTATAATTTTATTTTTAAAGTTAAAATTTTTAAAGACCTATCAGTTTTACCACAGAGCAAAAGACCTACCAGTCTTACCACAGTCAGTCTTACCACAATCAGTCTTACCACAGAGCAACACGGAGGAGCATTTACCCAGAAAGTTCACACCTCCTTGCTTACTAATGTCGCTTATTGAGTTAGAGCCTCTTTTTTCCGACTAAATTTTTCTTTGTGACAACTATTTTTTTTAAAAGTGGTTGGCGTATTTTTTTTATTGCAGAAAAACATCAAATTCCTGAAGTAGTTGTTAAATTTTTTTAAAATCATTATTTCCAAACTTGGTTATTTGATATTTAAGGACAACAAATGAAATAGAATTATTAATAATATTCTATAAATTTATTATAATTTTTTAAAATTATTTTTAGGGTCGATTGGAGTGTGAAGGGCCAAACAATAGACTTTATGAATTTGTTGGAAATTTAGTTTTAGACAATAAAAAGTAAGAACCTTTAATTTATTTTTGAACAAAGCTATTTTATATATGCACAGTGAAACTGGCATCACAAGCATGTTCATTTTTAAAAATTTCAAAAATAACAACAGCAACAACAACAAAAAAGAAAATAGAAAATTCAACTTTTTTATGTTTTGAAACATATCAACCAACATCTTTGCTAAGAAGTTATAAAAAATGAGGGTTTAGCTATGCATGATGCATCATTGATGACATCATAATGAAATATTTGAAACTTAAATTATTTGCTAAGTTTTCAGTGCATACTTTGACTAAGGGTTTTGAGTTTAGGCTGGTATTATCTATGTAGAAAAGACATTTATTACTATATTAAGGACATTTTAAACTGCAAAAAAGTTATTTTTTACTCTATTTCTCTCATTTTTATTATTATATCTAAACTATTTCTGCATAGCTGAATCTTGTTATTATATTGGTTGGAAAATGGTATCTGTGGTTCCTATTTTTAAAATATTTGGAGATAGATCTAATGCTTTTTACTATTGTTTTTTTTTTTATTATTATCATTAAAATTTTATTTACATTTGATATCTCAACTTGAGTTCAGCAACGACAATCAGATTTTGATTCTCTTGTTATTCTGTTGACTTGGTAACCATCAAGTTCTACTGTTGACTTGGTAACCATCAAGTTCTACTGTTGACTTGGTAACCATCAAGTTCTACTGTTGACTTGGTAACCATCAAGTTCCCTCTATAAAAAACCTCTTTAAGTCACTTATCTGTCTTTGTACCATATTCTGATGTTATTTCACATTTATAAAAGGTCTGAAAATATAAATATAGTATCTAGCTGCCAAGCTTAAAACCCACTATTGAATGGTTTCTTCTTTTCTACAAATTTTACCATTGTTGCTGCTTAAGCGAGAATCTTTTGTTTTCCCTACCAAAACACAATTTACTATAACTCTTCATACTCAAAAAAACCTTTTTACTTTTTTTCTCAAACATTTAAACTCTAGAGTTGCTGTTTTCATGTTTTTTAAATTTGTACAATTCACTCTCTAATTTACTTTCTAACTCCAAACTTAAATAGTGGTTGCTTGCAGCTATGTTGAAAGTAACCAACTCAGTGAGCATTTCTTTTTTTATACATTATTCTTTTACCTGTTTTGGAAGCACTCAAATTTTTTACAATATTAGCATTTGCTAAAGCCTTTTAATTGTGTTTGTTCCTACTTTTTTTTTATTTCTGTTTCTACAACTGTTATCTTGGTTGCTCCCTAATGAGGTTGTTGCACCTGCCACTTATCAAAAGTAAAAAGTATTGCACTTGCACAAGTATTGCCAATTTTTTTTTTGGGTCACTTTTAAGTTAACTGTAATTTTTTTTTGTGTTTAATTATTTCTTATTTGTCAATACAATAGTTTTAAAGTCTTCTATTTTCATACTCTTTGCTTTTTTTGTCTGCTTTTCTTTATCATTTCCAGGTAACGTCTTGAAAAAATTATTGGCTACAGCCTAGTAGTGTACATTAAAAAAAATATTGTTTGTTTTTAAATTCTAATACTTAGCTTGTAAAAAAAATTTCATATGAGAATTTTTAAACTAAAAAAATGTTGAACTTAAGTTAAATTTATGTTTAACTTGCTTTAATTTCAAAAAATATTTATTAGAGCAGTCCCTCTTTCTGGTGATCAAGTTCTATTAAGAGGTGCTCAACTTAGGAACACACAATGGGTGTTTGGTATGTTTTTTTAAATTCTCTTTGTTTAAAAAAATCTTTTTTGTATAAAAATATTATTTTTTAAAAATATTCCCTTTGTTTGAAAATATCATTTTTAAATAATACATAGTTTATGAAAACATTTTTTTTTTTTTGTATTTAGGTTTAGTTGTTTACACAGGGCACGAGTCTAAGTTGTTACAAGTGAGTTTTTGGAGACAATTTAATAAGACATTTTTAAAAAAACTTTTAATTTAATTTTTTACAAAATTTTTAAGTGAAGGATTTAATAAAATATCATTTAGCAGGTTGTAGATTTAAAACCTTTATTAACTTACATCACTGCAACTTTGCAGTGTTGTAAGTTGATATTGCAGTGATACCTCATTGAAGATAAACTTGTTGAAACAATGGTTTTAATAAACAAAAGTAATATTGAAGAACTTTAATGAGCCATCAAATAATTATAGAAATAGTATTCGTAGAAGTATACAAGTTCTGTGGAATGCGTACTTCTGTCTGGCGATAATCGGCAGTGCAATTGTGATGCTGTTAACCAGATGTTTAAACAGTTCTTAATAAGCTTAGTGGTTTTCTTAAATTTATGATTCTATTTTAATAATTTAGTAATACCTAACAAACAAATTATTAGTGGAATTACGTTATTTTTTATTGTAACATTTATGGAGCATCAAGAAGAAGTAAAAATTAATACATGGGTTTAATGGGCAATTAACTTCAGAAGAATGGTATCTGTACGCTTAAAAACTAAAATGTAGTATAATTATAAATAAACAAAAAATAACAAATTTTATTACTTAAGTTTTATATATGTATATATATATATATATATATATATATATATATATATATATATATATATATATTTATATATATATGTATATATATATATATATGTATGTGTGTATATGTATGTATATATATTTATATATATGTATATATATATGTATATATATATGTATATATGTATATATATGTATATGTATGTATGTATGTATATATATATATATACACACACACGCATATATGTACACATATATAATATATATATATATATATATAAGTTTATATATATATATATATAAATATGTATGTGTGTACATTTATATGCATATATATATGTATATATATATATATATATGTATATGTGTATATATATATATATATATATATATATATATATATATATATATATATATATATATATATATATATATTAGGTTGATAGATAGAAATAGAAAAATGGATAGATAAATATAGGAATAGATATGCGGTGATATGTAACTGATCAATTATTGCACGTTTAGTTATATTCTATTATATTCTTCCTATTCTTAATTTTACAGTTGGATTTGTATCCTTTACATATGTGCATTTCAGTATGTTGTCACTAATTAGATGCAATTATTTTCCAAGGTTTTTCTTAATCCTTTCTTTTTTCAAGATATTTAAAACCAATATACAGACTAAATCACCAATCATTATCATTTTGAGCTTTTGGTTAAAGTCCAAATTATAGTCCAAAATCTAAGCAAAGGCTGGAAGAAGTGTTCTTCCTGTCATCAGTACTATCTTATATCAGTCATGCCTATAGTAATTTTTTTTTTTTTTTTTCCCAAATATGCTTGGAGGTGCCTTAGTTACTGTATTAGCTCACCTGTAATCTATGTTATATGTATGTTTGTGTTCTGTCTGAACCTCTGGCGCGGTGTTCGCTCACCCGTAAGTTACTTTATGTTCTTTATGTATGTCTGTGTTCTGTCTGAACCTCTGGCGCGGTGTTCGCTCACCCGTAAGTTACCTAAATATTTTAATATGTCTTTTACAAATATTTGCGGTCTACGAAGGAACTTTCCATCAGTTGAGTCTTACCTCCTGCAAAATTCACCAGACTTGCTTGCACTCAGTGAAACAAATTTAAGTTCTGCAATTCCTTCTTCAGATGTCAGTGTTGATGGGTACTATCCTTTGATTCGTAAAGACTCCAATAGTCACATGCTAGGTTTAGGGGTTTACATACGCATTAATTCCCCAATTTTTTGTGAAATCAGGTTCGAATCCTTTGACCATTCTTTTATGTGCTTTCGCCTAGCACCTCTTCACTCTATCACCTTTCTCTTCGTTCTTTATCGTTCTCCTTCTTCCCATGATTGCACTCTTTTAAATGTTATCTCTGATCAAATTGACCATCCCCTCTCTCTTTATCCCTCTGCCAATATTGTTGTTGTTGGTGATTTTAATGCCCATCACACTGAATGGCTTGGCTCTAACACCACTGATCCTGCTGGCACTAAAGCCTTTAACTTCTGCGTTTCTCAATCTCTTACTCAGATAGTTAACTTTGTGACTCGTTTTCCTGACAACCCTAATCATTTACCTTCACTCCTTGACTTATGTCTTGTCTCTGACCCTAGCTTATGTTCAGTTTCTCCCTTTTCTCCCTTAGGTGGTTCTGACCACGCAATGATCTTTGTAAATCTTTCTTCCCGTAATTCTTTTTTGGGCTCACCTTATCATCGCACCACCTACTACTACCCTAAAGCTGACTGGGATTCCTTTCGTGATTTTCTTCGTGATGGTCCTTAGGCTGATGTTTTTTCTCTCTCAGCTGACAAATGCGCCTCCTACGTAACCTCCTGGATTCAGGCTGGAATGGAAGCTTTTATTCCTTCTCGTCGGTTTCAAGTCAAGCCTCATTCTACTCCATGGTTTTCTCCTTCTTGTGCGGCTGCTATATCCAATCGTAACCATTTTTTTCATCTTCTTCAAAAGAACAACTCTCTTGAGAACAAACGGCTGTTTATTATTGCAAGAAATCGATGTAAAAAGGTGCTTTCTGATGCTAAACTCCATTATTCTCAGTTCACTAAATCTCGCATCTTATCGCAGAAGTTAGGCTCTAAAGACTTTTGGAAAATCTTCAACAGCATTATTAACAAGGGTAGATCTAACATTCCATCTCTCCTTCATGGGACTGATCTTATTACCTCTCCCAAGGATAAGGCAGAACTATTTGCAAAGAACTTTTCTTCTAATTCCACTCTTGAATCTTATGGACATTCTCTTCCTTCCATTCCAGTCAAACAGGTTAACCCATTGTTAGACATTCAAATCACTCCGGCTTCTGTTGCTAAAGTCATATCTCAATTAAACTCGTCTACAGCTTGTGGTCCAGACAACATTCCTGTCACAGTCTTGCAGAATTGTTCTCCAGAACTTTCTTCAATTCTCTCTAAACTATTTAAAAAGTGTTTGACTGAGTCTTGTTTTCCTGCTTGTTGGAAAATGGCATCTGTGGTTCCAATATTCAAAAACTCTGGAGAAAATTCTGACCCCTCCAATTATCGTCCGATCAGTCTTCTTTCTGTTATTAGCAAGGTCTTTGAGTCTTTGATCAACAAATTCCTCACATCTCATCTTGAGTCAAATAAACTACTGTCAGACAATCAATACGGTTTTCGATTCTCTCGCTCCACGGCCGACTTGCTAACTGCTGTAACTGAAAGATTTTATCGTGCATTAGATGGAGGCGGTGAGGCTAAGGCTATTGCTCTCGACATATCTAAAGCTTTCGACAAAGTTTGGCATGCTGGTCTTCTCCATAAGCTTGCTTCATATGGTGTTTCTGGGAAAGTTTTTTGAAATTATCAAATCATTTCTTTCTAACCGGTTTATTAAAGTCATCCTTGAAGGCCAACACTCTTCTTTATTTCCAGTAACTTCTGGGGTTCCCCAAGGTTCCATCCTGGGCCCTGTTTTGTTTCTTATCTACATAAACGATCTTCCTGACAACCTTTCACCTAAAGTAGCTCTTTTTGCTGATGACTCAACTTTATACTCCTGTCTTGACAAAAAGTCTTCTCTTTTCGATCGCCTAGAACAAGCAGCTGATCTTGAATCCGATCTCACTTTAGTAATAGATTGGGGTTCACAGTGGCTTGTGAATTTCAACTCTAACAAAACCCAGTTGCTTACTGCAAACAACTACCGTAATATGGTCAACATTCCTATACTAATGAATGGCAATCCTCTTACTGAGTCGTCCTCTTTACGTCTTCTTGGATTATCGCTTACTACTGACCTTTCATGGAAACCATATATACAATCGATTGCTAAATTAGCTTCTGCTAAGGTTGCTTCTCTTTATCGTGCTCGCCATTTCCTTACTTCTGATTCTATTCTCTACCTCTACAAATCTCTTCTTCGTTCCTGTATGGAATACTGTTGTCATATTTGGGCTGGTTCTTCTAACGATTCACTTTCTCTTTTTGACAAGGTCCAAAAACGCATTGTAAATGTTGTTGGACATGGACTATCTGCTAAGCTTGAACCTCTTTCCCATTGTCGTAAAGTTGCATCTCTTTCTCTTTTCTACAGATACTATCATGGTCACTGCTCAAAGGAGTTATCATCTCTAGTCCCATCAACTAAAGTTCATTCTCGTTTTACTCGTCATTCAGCTAAGTCTCATTCGTTTACTGTATCTGTCCCAGCATGCTCTAAAAACTTTTATTCATCTAGTTTTTTTCCCCGCACTTCAATCTTTTGGAACTCTCTCCCATCTTCATGTTTTCCTGACTCCTACAACCTTCAACTTTTCAAGTCTTCTGTCAACCGTTTCCTTGCTCTATATATCTCTGTTCTTTTTTTTCCTAGTAACTCCTAACTTAATAGTGGTTGCTTGCAGCCTTGTTGGGAGTGAATGCAAATAAAAAAAAAAAAAAAAAAAAAAATTGAAACTATTTAGTAAAATTTATTCAATTGTTTTAAAATCTTATCAAATATTTAAAAATCTGTTCAAATTTTTAATTATGCTAAAGCATTTCAAATGTTTTGCATCAAAAGATTAATTAAAAATATTTTCCGTTATATGCATATATACTTTTCTTAGTATGCACTCTTTGTATATATATTTAACTATAGATAAAAGGTTTGATTAAAATGCTAAATGGAAAAAAGACTTTAATAAACAGCAAATTAAAAAATTGACTTCTATTAAAACCAAAATAGAAAATAAACTTCAAGGAACACCAAAATGGAAAATATTTGCTTTTTGATAAATAATTATTTTGTTAATGACTGAGTTAAAATGATCTTGTAGTAAAACCTTCTGTACATACAAATCTTTGTATGTAAAGAAGAATGTGTATTTAATATTAGTATTTAGTTGAATTTTATTAATTTATTAAATTTTTTTGCCCAATTTGAGCAGCAAACATAATAGTATTTTTACAACATCTAACATCCAACAACAGAGTACTAGACTGTTAAAATAGCATTATTATTATTATTGTTATTATTATTATTATTATTATTATTATTATTATTATTTTCAATATCTTCACTTCCAACAAGGCTGCAAGCTACCACTATTAGATTTGGAAGTTACTGGAAGAGAAAAAATGAAATTTATAGAGCAAGATAACAATTGACAGATGACTTAAAGAATGCAAATTACATGAATCAGGAAAACAAGATTAAGGAAGCAAATTCCAAAGAACTGATGTTCCAGGAAAAAAACTAGGTGAATAAGAATTTTTGGAGCACTTAGGAACATTCACAGTAAAAGGATGAGACTTAATTGAATAACAAGTAACACGAGAATGAGTTAAGTAGATAGCACAAGAGACGCTAGCTCTTTAGAACAGTTCCCATTATAGTATTTATAAAAAAGAGAAAGAGAAGGAACATTACGATGATGTAATAATAGTTGAAGGTTAGCTGCAAGAGCAGGTCCAACTATGTTTACAATGCATTTTGCACCTTGTCTAACAAAGAAAGGACATCATTGGAAGATCCGCCGCAGATATGACAACAGTATTCCATACAAGGATGGATTTGAGATTTATAGAGATAGAGAATAGAATCCTGAGTAAGAAAGTGGTGAGCAATAAAGAGATGCAACCTCACCAGATGCAAAATTTGCAATCGATTTGATATATAGTTTCCAAGAAAGATTAGAAGTAAGAAGTAATCCTAGAAGATGAAGGATAGATGACTCATCGGGAACATTACCATTCATAAATGTAGGAAGATCTAGGTTATTGCGATAACGATTAGCTTAAAAATTATTAAGAATTTTATGCAAAGAGAATACCAAATATATATTTGTTATTTAAAATCTTAAAATATTTTTAACAATACATAAGAATAAAGTTGTGTAAAAAACAACAAATTGTGTAAATGAAATAAGAACATCTTTTAACCTCTATGGTTTTATAGTACCATACTATAAAATACAAAATTTAAAAATTAATTAACTATGCAACAATTATGATATTTCTCAAGAGAGTTATTTAACAATAACAAGTTATGATTCATAACTGTTATAACATTAAATTTCTTTTAAATTTTGAAAAACTTTTATAAGTTGTCTGTTCAATTTTCATAACAATTTCTTGACTTTCATATTATTTTATTCTGAATTTTTTATATAATCTCAAACTTGTTTCAAATTTGTTTTTAAATATTTATAGAATGCCACTGCTGCACCAATTAAACGATCAAATGTTGATAGAAAAACAAACATTCAAATATTGTTCTTGTTTGGATTATTATTAGTTTTAGCACTTTTCAGTGCAATAGGAAATAAAAAATGGACAGGTATTTAAAATTTTTGTATGATATAATAAAGATTTTATTTGTGTGACTTTTTTATTTGTGTGATTTTATAAAAGAGCCAGATCATAGGTTTCTTTAAACTATATTTTTCAACTAAGTATAAATAAAATGTAGACATCTGGATTCTCAAGATTTTCATTACTAGGGAACACAAAAAGTTCTCATAATGATACTAGGGACCACAAATTGGGCTAGTACAGCAAAAATACGTTTTTAAATTGCTTCAGTAAAATCAAATCCACTATTTAAACTTTCCATTACAGTTTCACCTGCTTTAATTTTTTACTTAAACCTCTTTATATATTTAACATCATTATATACCTATACTATAACATCAATTTGTACCATTACATCATTGATAAATAGTTTTATTTTTAATTTATTATTATAGTTTATAAAAGTAACCTATTGTTATTATAAATTATATAAGTAACTTATTGTTATTATAGTTTATAAAAGTAATCTATTTTTTATAATTTAATATAGATGATCATCATGATTGGTATCTTGGATTTGATTGTAAGTGTTTTTATTAGATGTCATCAACAAAAAGTTTAGTTTGCAATTAGAAAAAACAAATTTTTTTTAATTGCAAACTAAAAAAGGTAAACTTCAATGATCACCAAAAGGTACTAACAAGGGGTGAGGGTGGGATGGGGGTGAGATGATTTAATTAAATCACCTCACCTTGTGAAGTGAGACTGTTGTCTAAGTTAGGAGAACATAAAAGCCAAGAGAGATTTCTAAAGCGTCAATGTTCAAGAAAAAAAGAGTTTTTTTAAAATTAAATTTTTTTTTCAACATGATTGAACTGCTACTGTATGCAACCTTGCAACAGTAAGCAACAACTGTATGAAATAGTTAATGTATGCAACTTTACAACAAGTAATGTAAGATTTAGTTTTATTTGATGGAACAAGAGGTTAAAGTAATATTTGTAAAAAAAAAAAGAGAAAGAAATCTTTGCAAAAATGGGAAAACTAGTCCAACTACATTCATATTTATAAGTTCATCATTAAAAAAACCAGCCCTAAGCTTGAGTAAGTTCATCATTAAAAAAACCAGCCCTAAGCTTGAGTAAGTTCATCATTAAAAAAACCAGCCCTAAGCTTGAGTAAGTTCATCATTAAAAAAACCAGCCCTAAGCTTGAGTAAGTTCATCATTAAAAAAAACCAGCCCTAAGCTTGAGTAAGTTCATCATTAAAAAAACCAGCCCTAAGCTTGAGTAAGTTCATCAATAAAAAAACCATCCCTAAGCTTGAGTAAGTTCATCATTAGAAGCCCTAAGCTGGCAGCAGCATTCTATACAAGAATAAATAAGGTTATAAAAAGAAGATCATAAACTTAGATTTTGAAATAAGTAAAGACTCAGAAATCAGGAAAAAAAATATAAAAAAGGCAGCTTTAGTTAATTTTTCAATGAATTGTATATTTTCAATGACAGGTCAGTAATAAGTTATTTAATACAAAAAATTGAAGATATTACAAATTATTTAATACAAAAAAATATTATTTAATTCTATAAATTTAACTCATAAATGGAAAAAAAATTCTTTTATTTAAAGAAACATTTTTTATTTAAAAAAAACTTTATTATTGAAAAAATTCTTTTATTTAAAGAAACATTTTTTATTTAAAAAAAACTTTATTATTTTTACCAAACTGTAATAAAAGTCTTTATACTAATAAAATCTTTAAAAATTTCTTTCGAAGTTTTAAAACTACATTTGATTATCTCAAGATTTTTTCCATAATTTGCTGTAAAAAACAAAGAAGAAATTGTATTTACAATCGTATCATTTTGCAATTCAATTTTATAATTGAAATTTTTTTCAAAACATTAAAAGTAAGATTTTTTAATAACATTTTTAAATAAGAAAAAAATTCAAGTAAATAATTTATTAAAATAGTACTGTTAAACCTATTATAATATATTATATATATAATATACATTTTGTGGTGTATGGGATATTTTTATTTAAAAAAAGATATACTTGTAACAATATATTTTGATGTTTTAAAGTTGTTTATGTCCTCTTTCAAAAAAATAATAAATTGTTTTTTACAATTTTATTAAGTTAATTTTTTTTTTAATGTTTCAAATTAATTAAGTCACACAATTCTTTATTTAAACATTTAGTTTATAGTTATATCGAGATGTTACATTTTTTTGTGGTAAAGAAATTTATTATAATTTAAACATTTAACTTGGAAATATTTAAAGTCTGTTAATAAACATCTTTTACTATTTAAAAATTTTATTAGCTCTTAAAAATAAAATTTTTCTGATTATCATCTGTTAGTAGTTTTCAGTACTTTTCCTTATAAATTGACCATATAAGTTGACCATATCAATTGCAAACAGAGCAGCCGTGGCGCAGTGGTTAGAGCTCTGGCTCAGAACCCAGAGGTCCGGGGTTCGACGCTAGCTCTAGCCCAACAAGCGACATTGGTACGGAAGGAGGCGTGAACTTCCTGTTAAATGCTCTCCCGCAGTGCTCTATGATAAGACCGTAAGGACTTCTGGGAGCACCTAAATACATATTTAAAAAAAAAAAAAAAAAAATTGACCATATCAATTGACCATATCAATTGACCATATAAATTGACCATATAAATTGACCATATAAATTGACCATATAAATTGACTATATAAATTGACCGAATAAATTGACCATATTAATTGACCATATTAATTGACCATATCAATTGACCATATAAGCAACATCTGATAGTATTACTTATTGTAATTAATTTAAATATGGTTAAGAAGAGACTTTATTATAATTTGAGTTAAGGTTTTTCTATAAGTTTTAATTAAACCATTTAAGTTTTAACTCTATTACTTGATTACTTTTAAAGACTTGGTTTATAAAATATTTTTTTTTTACAGCTTTTAATATTAAACTAATTAAAATTTTACTTAGCATAAAGACAAATAATATTGTCACTCTTTTAGTTATCCTTTATTAAAAGTTTATTAAAAACAGCAACAACTTTAGCAATGTTTTTTTAATTTGTTGCTGATGTGTTCTTGAATTGAATATCTATTAAACCAAATCAGTTTAAACTGCTTTGTTTAATAGATGTTCAGCCAAATATAAACTGTTATATGCAGGTTGATTAAGAATTTTTTCAGAAATTATCATTCATATTATCATATCATTTTTCTTTAAGTTTTAACTAAAGTATTTAATTTCAATACTTGATTCCATTTTTTAAACAACTTTTAAATAGTTATCCTAGTTAATGGTTCCACGAGTCGAAACTAGTGTATCTGTTTCCACGTGTCGAAACTAGTGTATCTGTTTCCACGAGTCGAAACTAGTGTATCTGTTTCCACGAGTCGAAACTAGTGTATCTGTTTCCACGAGTCGAAACTAGTGTATCTGTTTCCACGAGTCGAAACTAGTGTATCTGTTTCCACGAGTCGAAACTAGTGTATCTGTTTCTGCACAGAAAATCAAGACTGGTATTTTTTAATATAGAAATATAATACTGAAATACTGGTATTTAAGAAAGTTGTTTAAATTTTTATTGTATAAAAACAAAAATAATTTTTTAAAAAAAAATCAATAAAAGTAAATAAACTTACAAATTATAAATTTTTTATTTGGTGGAACCAAATTTGTTTATCTCTAATTCTATTAAAATTCTTAAGTTTTTCTGTCTGCACCACAACTTGTTTAAAGTTACACTGGCAGCAGTAAAACTCTTTTGTAGTTGGCATAACTATTAAAAGAAGAACGTAAACCTGTTGGAAATATTTCCTTTGCACACTTTTACCTTCAAATAGCCTCATTTTATTTTTTAGTCTTTTAATTATGTTGTTAGCGCATTTTTGTTGATTCCTGCCATTGTTGTAGTTTGTTTACAAATATTTTTGTTGATTCCTGCCATTGTTGTAGTTTGTTTACAAATATTTTTGTTGATTCCTGCCATTGTTGTAGTTTGTTTACAAATATTTTTGTTGATTCCTGCCATTGTTGTAGTTTGTTTACAAATATTTTTGTTGATTCCTGCCATTGTTGTAGTTTGTTTACAAATATTTTTGTTGATTCCTGCCATTGTTGTAGTTTGTTTACAAATATTTTTGTTGGTTCCTGCCATTGTTGTAGTTTGTTTACAAATATTTTTTTATTAATTTCTCAGAATTTATTGCCTCAGATCCACTAACCTCAAAGTGAAGAATTTCTTGAGCTTGTTTCTAAATAGCTGAAACAGTAAAATAAAAATACTCATTTTAGATACACTTGGAAAGTTAAAATTTATTAGGCTTGTGTTATCATCTTCAAGACTTTATGCAGATAAAAAAAATTAAATTTCGTTCTTCTTACAGTGGTATTTTAATCCACTCAGAAGCTTTTTTTCTCAGTGATGAATTTCACTTAGCTTGTCAAACATAAGTTTAATCATTGTATTCTTGTGAGAAAATGATTCAATGGCTAATTTTTTTAAAAATAAATTTACTCCAAACAAGGCTGCAAGCAACCACTATTTATGTTAGGAGTTAACAGGCTGCAAGCCACCACTATTTATGTTGGGGGTTAACAGAAAGCAAAGAAAAAAGAAAGTTTAAAGAAGAAGAAAGCAGTTGATAGAAATCTTGTAAAACTATAAAAACTATAATCAAGAAGATTAAATGTCTTGGTTAGCCAAGAATAAAGTAAACATAAGCAATCAATTATTTTTATTACTTAAAAACTGATAAACAAGTTAATGTATTTTTATAAAAGTTTTAACATTTAATTTTATTTAATTAAATTCTAAAATCCTGTATATAGCAATATATATTGAAATATTTGCAAAAGTAA